TTTGATGCAGGGAAAACATGGTATGATCTGCCATCAGAAACATTCAAGTACCTAATTAAGTGCAGCACCAGTTACAATGAAACAGCTAGGGAACAGGTCTGCAACACGCCCAGCTGCCACATGTTTTGATCAATCTAACTGCAATGAAGATATGATTACCTGACTGGCCAGTGGAGATCCACAATAAAACTCTAAAAGGTTCCTCTGATGTACTTTTACTTTTCCCCATTTTCCAGAGTGTTTTAGTATGCATTGTTAGGATTTCCTCCCCAGTTGGTTCTGTTTTCAGCATTTTTCAAAATGTTGAGAAAACACAACACTTAAAGGTCACTAAATATCACTATTTTCAAAATTTCATCCCTTCTGTTTGTCTACAGCTAATAGTGTTATGCCTATTGACTTGCATTAACTTTCAAACAGCAGTCAAATACTGAAAATCATTTAGGTTCAGGTAGGATGTAGAATGAGGATCTGAATGTAAAGCAGCCTTAAGATGGGCTTTAAGATTTTTTGGAAAAGGTAATAGTCAAAGTTTAAGCTGCCCACAATTATTTCAGGTTAATCTTCACAATACTTTCATGTCAAAATTGAAGGAAGCTTTCATATTTACTAGCGCAGGAAGAAAATCAAGTTGGAAACATCCCCTCTTACAGCACAGGAAATATTTCAGAAACTCAAAATGGATTAATTATATTGTTACATCTAATACAAGTTTGGCAAAAAAATAATCCTAAATTTCTCATTATCTTAGCACTGAGACCAGATATTCCAATAAATTATTAAATCATGTTTTGATAGCTTATATTTTGACAAGCAACAAGAAAGTTGCTAAAAATCTCAGGATGTTTTTGCTTAAATTAGTACAGCAAAGCAGTTAATACCCACCTCTATGTAACTTTAAAAGTATGCATATTGACTTCCATATCATTATGTTTGTCTTGTTTTACAGCAGAATCATAAGCTATTTCTAAATAGCTTATGACAGACACTTGTGATGTTACCCACAACAACCTGCCATCTAAACCATCCATTTTCATGTCTCCAATTTCCTGGCCAACTTTTGCTTCCACCTGATGTTATCTAATTCAAACACCATGACATTACAACATGACAAATACTTGAAAACAGAAATTCAAAATGTTGGCATTTAACACATCTTAGTGAGCAAAGTATATTTCAAAACTCTGTTTAGAAACATTGATGACTTCTAAGGGTTGTAGCAACCCTGCACAGTGCAACTGTGAAGTTTAATGTACTGCAAATTTCAGAGTTGATTCTTAATATCAATTTTGATTTTGACATGCATATACTGTATATTACAATCTTAGATTTATCTCAACAATTAATGGAATATGCTTATAGCTATGTCTGAAATGATCACACAGCATAAGTGAAGCTGCAGATGGAGTGTGGCTATTTTCAGCTACCACAAAATATGGACAATCTCTCCTGCTACTACAATTTCACGCACAGTTAGCTTCAACTCCATTTCATCCTTCTACATTTTACACACCAGCACTACTCTACATCTGACAGACTGAGGCTTAAAACTTGCAGCTGTCTAAAGCAATACTGTTTAAGCTAGCTTCTGAATTAGTCTGAAAGTGAATACAAAAAAAAAATCTAGAAAATAAGGAAATAGCCAAAATACTTTTTCATTTTACAGTACAATTATGAAGTAATTAAAGTATTTCACCGGACAGGTGTCAGGAGATATTAAGAGCAAGACAAATATTGGGTAACGAGAGCACCTCACAGCTATTTTCTGCTATGTCAACTCACAGAATACTGGACCAATAACAAGACCAGGATTAATAAACATCTTTCAAGGATATGAAACAGCTGAAATCTGTAACACCTCATTTGAGGTTGCACTGATGCTATGCAGCACAAAGTACTTTTAGGACTGGGCATATTTCACAGATCGTTTGTGAAAAGTAGCAGTGATACATAAAAATTCTCAGATATGCACACTATCCCCTTTAATTTAAGAATTAACTTAAAATCCTGAAGTCTGTCCTGGAATTCTAATAGTTTGCAAGTCTTTGTAGCACAGACTACCAACATGCTGTGTTACATGATGGGAACAAGTATCTGCTCACATAATGAACAAGCTAGGTCATGTACTGGAATCATGGCTTAGAAAAAAAAAGATTTACGTACTTTGATGATGTTCAAGCATGTAGTTATATCACTAGCAAAACCCAGACCACCACTGCTCTGGAACTCAGCAACATAGAAGGCTGCTAATCAGAAGGTCAGACATCTTACATCCATATGAAGGTTTTTAGAACAAGATTTAAAAATTCTTCAAGCAAGAGGGTAGGAAAAAAGACTTAAGACTTTCAACATCCATTCACTCTCAACTATCAAATTTTCATTAGAAAGATTTCTATGGTAACCTGGAAAAACCTAGTGAAAGAGAAAAAATAGCAAAGGGCAATATCCAGTTTTTCTATTCTGCACACATATCATGAAAATACTGCTGTAGCAAGAAACTACTATAAATTAGATTGTTAATTTTTATGTAAGAGTAAAATCTTAAGCTCAATTACATACACCTATTACAACCAGTACTATGTTAAAACACAAGTCAATCCAAAATGTGGTGATTCCGAATACAATCTGTTAAGATAATATTCATGGTCATTTCTCTTGACGCTAATTTTCCACCGGCTAGTTTAAGGGAAGTTACTCAGTACAAGTTTGAAAAAAATTAAAACACCAATCAGAAACTCCAAAATTTACATTTCCAAGCAGTGGTAACAGCATAAAAATTTTCTACCTTCTGAAGCAGCATTTGAAAGAATATTAGAAATGATGCTATAAATTAGCACTCAACCACATAACCACAATGTTATAACAATCCAATATTTCTATTCACACATAGGAGGGAAAGCGTGCAAACCCAGATATGAAAATGCATGAAGACAATATCATATCACTCCTATAATTCAAGCCAATACTTAACATGCTAGCTCCAAATCTCAAGTATCATTTGTCACAGAAGTAAGAAGAGATAAAATAATAATCAAGACGTACATTGAATTGTGCTATAGCAGCAAATTGTTCCTATTTACTACAAAGCACAAGCAAAAAACAAAACTGGGTAAACCAACACAAATAGATTAAAAAACAACTTATAATAAACAATCTCTTGGTTCCTATGAATATACAACAAATTCTGGTTTGCTGATGGGATTTGTTGAACAAACCTGAGACTCCGTCCAGCCCTATACGATTTGCTTTACTACATTCAACACAACTAAAGTAGAAAAACTTTTGAGACTAAAGATATTTACAATGTAAAGCCCAGACCAAAAAACAGCATTTGATTAGTCTTACACAAAAAGTGTAATTATCTACACAGTGAATTCTAGGTCTGATCCAGGATAATCAGAAAAAATATCTATTGATTTAAATTCTGTTGTTTGATCCAACTTTTATTAATGCAATGTTTACAATACAAAGTTAAATCCTTGAGTAAATTACTGATAACTTTTTTCTTCCTCAAAAGTTGCATTGACAGCAATGCAACATAACTCCCCTAGCTTATTTTCCCAACAAATGACAACAGAAGTTACCCTGCTCCACAAGTTCTTGTGCTACATCTTATGCACACTGAGGCAATGCCAAGAATGTTACCTGAACAAATAAAAGCATCCGCTTGTTACATAAGTACAGGAAGCCTTGCTGTTGCCACCACAACTGTTATTGGTTGTGGTACACAACCACAGCACAGCACCCTTTCCTATTTTTCCATTCCCTTTTAGTACATTTCATTAGATTCATTTTTCAGCTTTTGTGCGTGTATATGTACAGATATGTGTATATATATATATATATGAAAGAGCTGGAGCATTTGCCAGACACAAACTTTCCTTTATAAGATTCATAGATCTAGCAAAGAAAAAAATCTTAGATAAAGTCCCATAAGGATTGTACCAACATAGTACTGTAAGCTTTGTCAATATATGAAACAGTACAATTTACAGTCTTACCTCTTACCTTGATAGTCTCTCAATACTAAGGAACTACTAATTATTAATTCTCCGCAAATCTCAAACACTTGCTTCTTGTTATTTAATACATTGTACCTAAGACTGTAATCAGTGATTTTGTTAAAAATTACAGGCAGATTTTTTTTTATTATTATGCTGAATTTAAATGACAGGAGAAATCTGCTACATTTCCTCACTAATTTCACATTGGCAGTTATTTAGCCATCTCCTAGACATTAAAAATAATTTCAGCATCTCTTCTCCTTGAAATCTCTACTTTCCTTATAATTGGTTGGTCTTCAATGTATTCTAGAGTACTCTTAAATTACAACATATTTGAAAGCATGTATTCTTTTCAAGGGCTCTGTAAAAATTCTTCCTTGCTGATGTACCTGAAGCAAGATAGATATTTATTTACTACAGATAAAGGAACAGGTTTGCCTTAGCCTGACTGAAGCACAGCATGGGCTCTGAGCAAGATCATTCCCAATATTTCTACCTGTTAGAACCTAGCTGTTCTCACTGCTGCAGATCAGAGTCCTGCTTCTGCCAGGTTCATGCCACTTCAGGAGCTGACCTGATGCCTACACCAGCCTTTTGTTCCTAGGGACTGAACTATCCTGGACATTATACTATGAGTCAAGAACCAAGCAATAGCTGTGATCAAGAACACTAGTCTCCTTATCCTCTTTTTTTGCCCTCTTCAAATCCCACACATCCTTCAATTTAAAGAAGCAGGACATTGCTCCCATTAATCACTTCACAGTACAGAAGGGCTGTCACAGAACCAAAGGTCCCTCTGCTTATACAGGGATGTTGTTTTAGAGCAGTATGGTAAGTCTGCAAATCTAGACCCTAAGTATACTGGATTATACAGAAATACTGCATTTTCTTCTTGTGATTATAATCCAGATTCTCATATATTTTTAAAATGGGAAGTCTCATAAACATAACACAATGTGTTAAATTTTTCCACAAAGGATTTGTTCCACAACCCACCTTTCTAGTTTCCAACTGAGCTTCTTCTTGACAGCACTGCCTGCAGAACGGATCCAACTGATTCAGACTGAACTGTCCAAGAAGGTTGCAAGAACTGCACAGCAAGTTACTGGAGAAGCCCAGCTCTCTGCAAGCTTCTGATGACAACTGCGCTCCATATACACTTATCTGAAAACCAATACAATGTTAAACTTTAGTATTAAATTAGTTGCTTAAAAAAGGAAGATTTTAAATGCTTTAATGATTAGGAAGAACAATTAAGTCTCTTGTGACCATTTTACAGTAATGCCTAACAGTCTGCCCATAAGTGTAAGATATCACCTTATTTTGAAGAATGGTCTTAAGATCATAGTGAATTCTAGACACTCATAATATGTCTATTTCAAGGTATCAAACCTTCTAAAGTTTATTTATATACACTTCTGACAACTCTACTGTTTTCCTATTCCTAGCTTCAAATTAAGAAAAAACCCAAACATAATGAATCAGCTGAAATGCACATGGCTACAGCTCTCTAAAGCCTGCTCCTTCAAAACAAGTTCAGTAAATTTCATATCACCAAAACCACACTTTGAAAATAAGTATAACAACTCAGCTTGGGAAAAGCACAATCAGGGAGTGATGAAACAGACCAAACTGCTCAACAAGGCATACAAGTAGAATTTTAATTTCATGTTTGCATTAATGTTACAGGAAAATTGCATTCTAAAAGTGGAAGCATAGATAAAAACCTGCAATTCCGATTTACTAGCAATACATTAAAGTAGGCAACTCAATTACATGGTTTCTATGTAAAACACCAGTTCTGTTTTTAACGAGCAGCAAAAACAATTTTACCAACTATCCCGGCACTTAAATGATATTTGGGGTTTGTTTTTACATTTCCTCTTCCCTAAACAGGGATTTCTCACAGCCTAGCTTAAAACCTTTCCTTCCAGCTGTATGCTGAGGGGCAGGGGGAAGTGAGAATGGAAATTAAGGAAGAAGAGAAAGGAAAGTTCTCTCAGATGCATCTGGGTGAAAGGCCCTGGGCAAAACCTACAACATCTAAAACACCAACAAAACTGTTCTGTGTTCAGAGAAGAGAGATGATACCAGCAAACTAGACTGGATGATAACAGGCCAAGAGTCAGAAGAATTATGCTGGGCAAACAGAAAAATAAAGAAAAGCTAAGGTTGTCCTTCAGCAAATCAGACTCCTCTTCATATCTGCCCATCATTTAATATATACAGCACACGGAAGTAAAGTAGAAACAAAAATCTATTTCCTCTCCTGAAGTGGCCAACCTATAGTCAAAGACATGTCACTGATGTGACAGATAGGAAGTGTTATGGATTAGGAATTCGTAGAAAATTTATTAGGTGACTCAATCTGTTTCTCTATATCTGCTAAAAAGTATAATATACAGAAAACTATTTTGAACTTACTATTCTACCAGGCAGAAAGCTTATTTTTCTTCTTTGTACAGGACACTGCTGAAGTAATTTCTATATATGACAGCAGACAAGCAAAAATGGGACCCTATTCTACTGGAATAATCTATTATTTTTCTTTTCTGAGGGATACTAGCATTAAGCAATCTAACACCACCACAGTAGTACAGAAAATCTAAGGTGGATGCCAAACATTGCCAAAGCAACATCACTGTTCGCTTATTAATGATGACAGTAGCTTAAACAGTTTTCTTGCACCTTGCTGCTTGCCATCCACCCCTTTCATGCTTTACTATCATAATTTCCTCACTTTCGAAGTTATTCAGCTGGGGGCAAAAATGGTATTACTAGCATTGCCATTTTGCTTCCACGAGCAACACTCATCACACTTTTCCCCAGCAGAGCTCTAGAGCATCTGCATATATAAAGCCAATACTCTCCTGGTTTTGGGCAGGACCAACCAAAAAACAAACAGTATATGAAAGCAAGTAAAGTCTCCATTACAACAGAATTTCTCAGAAGATCTGGTTACACAGCAAGCTCAAAACACCTTGAGAATAAAAATCATAGAGAAGGGGAGGAAGAAAAAAAAAAGAAAGAAAAAAAGAAGAGGAAGAAACTGGCTCTCCCTAGTATTTTTCTTCAATTTTCAGTACCACAACTATTGTACTATCCAGAAATAATAAGTATACTAATTAAATGTCTCTATTTAGGATTAGAAAAGAACCCTCACATTTCAGAAGTTAATTTCCTACCAGAACAAGATAATTTCAGATACTTAACTAGTGATGCACCTCATTTCAGCAGCATGCTCTCCTTTAAAGCTTTGACTACCAATACTCATTACGTGACTGCTTTGCTTTCACATTAGATAATTTAATACAGTAAAGCAAACGCAGCATCAATACAAATTGCTTTAGGAAGTACTTAATAGTTGTTAGAGTGAAACACTTCAACAGGTCTTTTGTATAACCTCATGCCTCTGGAGCTCAGGCGGGTCCGAACTTTCAGGGCATCAGGTGCACTGAACAGAGACAGCTGACTCGTCCGGAAAGCCTCGAGGGACAGCCTTTCCCAGGACAACCTTCAGTTAGAAATCAAAAACCACTCAGCTTCGCTTTCCAAACCCGTTCTCAATTTATTACTAAGGATAACCCGGGTCATGAGATTTATGACAATACACAAACCGCATTAAATAAGGCGAGGAAGCCTGTACATTTATTTCAAGTCACTGCAACACCCACACCAATCGCCGCGTTCTCTAAGCTAACAGGGCAAACCGAGACGAGGGACAAGGCCGAAGGGCGTTTAGGCTTCAAGACGCCGCTCTCGCAGTCTGGACAAGTAGAGGCAGCGACAGCAAGAGGGAAGAAGGCAGAAGCAGAGAACAGCCTTCGACAAAGGGCAAGAGGCGGCCTCGGAGGCAGGGGAGCGCCGAGGCACGGGACGACGCCTCCGGGATGGGATAGGCAGGGCAAGGCCCACTTCCTCCGCCTCCCGCTATGGGACACGTCTCACTCCCGCCCCACCCTCCCTTAAACCCTCTTTCTCTCAGGAAATCGCAGCAGCACTCAGCCCCGAGCGCGAATAAACCGGAACGGCCTCTCACCGCCTGCAGTCCCACTAACAACCAGAACCAGCAACGCTGCCCTTCTTGGTGCCGGAACGCTCCTGCCAGCGTCGCCGAGAGGCCGCTGAAGAGCCTCACTCATCGCGGATGCCCGACACATGCCTGATGCGGGACAGGGTAGATTTACTCCTAACCCCGACACCACAAGCAGAAACAGCTAACCCAGAACCTCTTCGGGAAGTCTAAAGCAAAGGTATTTCAGTCTGTCTTGGTGCCGGAACGCTCCTGCCAGCGTCGCCGAGAGGCCGCTGAAGAGCCTCACTCATCGCGGATGCCCGACACATGCCTGATGCGGGACAGGGTAGATTTACTCCTAACCCCGACACCACAAGCAGAAACAGCTAACCCAGAACCTCTTCGGGAAGTCTAAAGCAAAGGTATTTCAGTCTGTTCAGAGTAGCGCCTCACAGCAAGGCTAGAGGAGCTGCCATTCCCCAGCTTTAGTCA